CTTTTGAGTCTTTGGTTCTAGACAAAGAAATTCAAGTTTTACCCAGTTAGCATGTCCCTATAAGTTGAACTCAGAGCTTGGCCTAATAGCGCTAAGAGTCAAATATCAGGGTTGTGCTTACCATTACGTGTAAAAATGTGGCCACGTTGGCTCAGGCTGCTAAAACGTCCACCTGCTGCTTCCAAGGGAGAGGATGCTGAAATACTTTATTAGATTCTGAATTGAAGCCATCACAAGAGGAAGTAGAAGTAGAATCCACAGAATTAGTGTCTGCTGTTTTGGGACACGTGAATGTTTAAGTAAAATGTATACATGAATTAATCACGTCAAGTGAAGCAGAACTTAGAGTCATGGGGTCTCCCTATATGTTCATAAAGGGGTGACTGAGGCTTTCTCAAAAGCTCACAACATTTGAGGGAAATGACTGCATTCCTGGCTATGGTGTGGAGGGGAACAGATGTCTTTCTTTCACAGACTGACTCGTTATTTCTGTGTTTTGTGTCTGTGTGTTTTTTTCTCTTTTCTATGTCTCACGGCACACGAGCAGATATTAATGAATGTGAACAAGTGCCCAAACCCTGTGCACACCAGTGCTCCAACACCCCTGGCAGCTTCAAGTGTGTCTGTCCCCCAGGACAACATTTATTAGGGGACGGGAAATCTTGCGCTGGATTGGAGAGGCTGCCACATTATGGCACTCACTACCGTAGCTATAACCTTGCTCGCTTCTCCCCTGTGAGGCACAACCGGCAACCTCAGCAGCAGTACAGGCAGTACTCACATCTCTACAGCTCCTACTCAGAGTATAGAAACAGCAGGACATCCTTCTCCAGGACTAGAAGGACTATTAGGAAAACTTGCCCCGAAGGCTCGGAGGCAAGCCATGACACATGTGTAGGTAAATGTCAGCCGTGTTACATTTCCTTTCTGTGGGCTCGCTTGACCAGGGGCTCAGCAAGAGAACAGCATCTGTGATTGTTTGGTTGTTGGGACCTATGTCCCTCCTCATCTGTGGTGACAGACTTGAGATTTTGGCACTTAAAACCTATACAAACTTTATTCAAATAAATGTTGCATTTACATACATGCATTCTATAATTTATTGTATTAATTTATTGTATTTCTTTTTGATTGCCCCTAATGCTATATAGAAACAAATTTTAGTGGCATCCAGAGTGATTGTTTTAAGGAGGCATACCTGTTGTCACATAATACAGTATAATCATATTGTGGCTACACTGGGTTGATGAAAAGGTGATGCATTAACCAGTTGTTCTAGCTAACAGCCAACATCACGTTGACTGTTGGCCCCATGTTCACTATGCAATTTCTTGCTTTGATTTTTGTGTATATGTATGTCACAGAAAAGATAATGTGAACCAGGACAAAATTAAGTTGCTTTCTTCACTCTAAAATATGTGCATCTGATATCTTTATCTAAACTCACCAGTCTATAATTTTGTTTGCAAGACTATAATTTCCAACTTAAGAATTGAGGCCTTGTTTTTTTCAGTTAGGCTGTAAACATCACCATCTGTCATTCATTTAGCTCAGTTTTCTGTGAGTATCCACAGTTTGCATGTCGTTAAACTAATCGCTTAGAGGAATTAGGAAACAGAAATTAGCCCCACTGTTCGTTAGATGCAGAAAGAAAGCAAGGGGAAAAGGAATAGAGAAGAGGTGAGGGGGTAGATAGAAGTTCTGTGTAAATTAAAGCACCCTGGAGCCAACCTCTTAATAATCCTCTTAAGTGTTCTACACTTTACTTATTTTTTTCTGGTTTGCATTCTGTTAAACATGCAAACATTTTAAGGGTTTCTTCTCCTGATGACTTCAGGTTTTCCTTTTCATTTCGCTTTTCTACCCTTCACCAACCCCTGTTCTTACATTATTACATTGCTAGACATGCTGCCTTGGTCAATTTTAAGTGAAGTCAACTTTTCATCCTTCACTATACAGTGGGGCCCTCCATCCTTCTGAACAGTCACATTTTATCCTTTATTCTTTATTCTTTATTTCATATTTTCCCAGAACTTTTCTGTCTAGATATCCTGATATTCCTGAAATTTATTATAATGGATACTTCTCCCCAGTGAAGAGCTTCACAGAGCTGTGGATGGTGCCAGTTGCTAATCTTTCAAATGTTAACTCATTTATTAACAATGTTCTGCATTTCATCCATATGGTCAAATATTGCACAATTTCTAAATTTGTGAACTCCAAACCATTCTAAGTGTTGGTCACTTTTCAGGCCTAGCATTTTGACTTATCATTATTTAATATTTTTACCATTCTTTTACTGACCATTAACATCTGACATTTTATCTTGCAAAGTTTCTTCTAGTCATTCTCTTTGCAGAATTTCCATGACTATTAACACTCCATTCTCAGATTTCATCACAGACAAGCTGTCTTCTGTTCACCTTAACTTCTGCCCAGAAACTTTGTTTATTGTATAATAGACTAACTAAACTACACCCAACTCTATACACCATCTAGCTGGTGTCCACTGCTGTATCTGAAAATGCAAGTCATTTGAAGAAAGTTTCCCAGATTAATAACCTAATTCTCTATTTTTCGTCACCACATGCAGCTATTCATTTGTCACACTTGAATCTTAGGAATGTTTTCTGTCTTTCTGTTTTTATTGCACAAACATTATGGTGCATTGGATTTATTTTTCTTTCTTGGACACTTGTCTAGTATTTAAGGCAGCTCCTGTCTCTGAGTAAATATCAATCTTGGAAAATCTAAAGTAAACTTTTACATCTAGTCAGTTCGTGGATATTTGGAATAACTGAGATTAGACCTTTCTTAAAATATGGTGATGATGGGGAGATGGCTCAGTAGAATAAGCGCTTCCCTGGCAAGTGCAAAGGCCTGAGTTCAATCCCCGGATCTGCCAAAAAAAAATATGTGTGATGATTTTATAGCATTGGGACTAATAAAGAAATTTACACTAAGCCTGCAGACAACCCCTGAATTTTATAACAGAAACAATGTGCAATAAGCAACCAAGTGTCTTTAATTAACCATCTGGGATAGATAAGTTACAAAAGAGTCACATTAACCCTAAGAAATCTTGTTAGAGTTGAGCTAAAATTTAGCTTTTGGAGGAACTGATTCCAACATTTAATGGAAAGAATGCATCGTGTTGCTTCTGAGTGCAGAAATCAGCTATGGAGCTACTTCAGACTCCAAGAGAAGGTTACAAGTTAACTGCTTAGAGTTAAGTGTGATCTAAAATTTTTCTTGCAATTATAAGTTAAAGGAGAAAAAGTAAAAGTAGCTCACACAAGTTATAGAATGAACCTTGTAGTTGATTGGAATGATACCGAGACACTGACAAATACCTGATGCATATTAGTCTTTAGCATCTTTTCAGTCGTTACAGTTCTATTTTTGCATGTGCAAAATCTGGCTCTGGGAGGGTCATTTTCCACCAGCCACTTCATCTTCCTGTAGCTCTACCCTCCAGCACACCGGCTTCTGTTTCATGTCATAATCAGTCTTCCTATGAGAACATTTAAATGTTAATCAAAGCAAAGCACAGTTGGCGCAAGTACTGTCAGCCCTCCCAAATCGCATTCCTTAATCAAAGCAAGCATCGATTAATTCTGAGTTGTCATCTATTCTCACACTCCTCAGCATTGCTATTTTCTTGTTTCTGTTTACTAACAGCAGATACCCTCCATACAGCTTATGAAATGCTTTCTGGTGTATCAGTGCATGGGAACTTTCCAACAAATCTGCACATTAGGGGAGATGGTCTCCTTATTCCCCTTTGGCAGAAGGATCAACTGAGATTTTCAGAAGTCGATAGCCTATTGAACATAGCATGGTTATAC